AAGCAAGAAGGGAAAAACCAACAAGCACTGTGCAATTTCAGTGAAGGGAGAACTCACCCACAACCCCTTTACCCCCCAAAGTCCTCATTTCACACAGAAACAGAAAAATTATCATATTAATAATTGCTGTAACTTATGTGACATAATGTTTATACTTATGTGATTGACTTATGCGATGTAATAATTATAATTACATGCAGGACTTGGGGGATTTGATATTAATTTAAATTGAAAGTTAGCTGTTAAAATGTTTGTGTATTTTCAGATGTTGCTGTGTGTTGCCAGCTAGAATTTCTGGTTAATTTAAAGCACGCACACACACATACCCCTGCCAGCACAACCTGCCTCCTCTGGCTCCTCTGAGCCACTTTTCGCAATGTTGGCCCCAATCCTCAGATTTCCAAAGTTCCCTCTGACTTGAAGTTCTGCCACTCAGCAGAGCCCCATTTTCGTGTTGTCACGCTGTGGCTGCAGGTGCTGAGTAAGCAGCTGGGCCAGAGTATGACCTGGGAGTCCCCCTGTTTCAGCCAAGGTTGTGGAGTCAGTGTAAAGTGAGTTTGTAACCTGAATAGATCCCGGTGATGCAGTGCATGCTCACACAGATGCCAAGTTCTTACACAAGTGGAGCTCAAGCCGTGGCCTGAAGCTCTCAGAGAGATTAATATCTATGTCTATACCTATTTATATACCTGTATCTGTATCTATATCTGTTTATTTCTCTCACTCCCCCATCTAATCTATACCCATGCCTGTATCTATATGCAAAAAACAAAACCAAAAACAAAACGTGCTTAAAAGCCTGTAATCCAATATTTCCTGGAATAAGGAAGCGTGCTGAGCAGGTGTATCCACAGGCAGTAATTCCTAACCACCTTCAGCATGAAATCCGAGGGAAGGAGTAGCCCCTTCCCTGGAGACTCTGCTCCTCTCCCTCTAGGTTCCTATTTCCCCTTCAAAAATTATTATGATAACTAAGAATTCTCACCAGCATTCCTACCATTCCTACCAATTTCTGAAACAGGAAAGCCAAAGGCAGGTGATGATAGCTGCATGAGACATGTTGGTTTATAGGCTAAGGCCAGGCTCAGTCATTCTGGCTTTGATCTTTTTTTTTTTTTTTTAATGAAAATATCACCAATCCAAGGCACGTCCTGTGGTGGGGGGTCAGTCCCTCAGTTGAATCACTCTTTCCACAGAAGACGTTCAGCAGGCGGCTCGGTGACTGAAGAACAGCCCGACAGGAGGGTGTGCTTAGCTAGCCAGAAACTATTTCAGACGAAGCCAAAGTCATCCATGTTGTTGCCATCAGCAAAAGTTACAAATAAAAAGTCCCCTGGGAAATGATTAATCCGGCTTGGTAAACGAGTGAAAAGGCGCTGGCTGTCAGTGCTCAGCCTGCAGAGGGAATACCGGGGCTCCGGGGATGCGCTGATGCCTTTGAACTGCGCTTTGTTTCTCCAGCCCTCTCGCACACGTGCTGCAGGACCAGCCGGGCTCCTGCACAAGCCCTGAGCTCCTACCTCCAGATGGCTCCCCAGAGGCTCTGCACTCTCTCCGTGGTGCTGCTGTGGGGCTGCGTGGTGGCCTCCTCCTCCTCCTCCTCCCACATCTCAGGTAAAACCCGGCATGCTCTTTCAGTGCTTCAACCAAATCTGCTCGTGTGTGTGTTTGTTATGTGTGTGTGTGTGTTTTGCACTGAGTGGCTGATCTATAAACCTTACAGTCTGTTGTCTAAATATATTTTGTGTGTTCAGTGGGTATTTTTCTGAGTGAATTTGAAAGGAACAGAAACTGCCTTTGGTGCCACAGCGAATATATTGTTTGATGCAGGGATATCAAATATAAATACTGCTCTGGTACATCAGTGCTCCTGAGCGTGGTCCCAGCAGGGCAGACTGCACTAGGTGAATAAAGCACAAGGCTTAATCATACCTGGAGAATAATACTTTCTTCTAAAAAAATATTGCTGTGCAAGCTGTCATCCGTGGCAATGGCACTTCAAGCACCCTTTTTGCTTCAAGCCCTCGAGCATCTCCTTGCTGCACCTGCCAGCCCCAGCTCTTTTGGCCTCTGGTAGCTGGGACTTGGCACACAAAAGCTTTCCCTCTCCAGAGGGATGGTGAGCAGGTCTGGCCCTCCCTGCCACAACCAGCGCAAGATGCAGAGATAAAAAAAACTTGTCCAGGAGGCCACTGAGAGACTCCCAGCACAGAAAGCTGCCAGCAAACATTCCACGCTGATCAAAGCACTCTGCCTTTAAAATGGGATTCTGAAAACCTCTGTGAGCAGCGCAGAGAAGTGCAGACACACAGCAGGAATGTATGAGGGGGGCACCTGACAGGCTGCCACTTTCCCACCGGCAAAATAGGTGGAAAATTGCCAACCCTCCTGCTGCTTGCGCCACCTTGGCACAGCGTGGAGCAAAGTGGTGGGAGGCAGCTGGGGATCAGCAGGGGCTTGTCACCAAAGCAGTGATGTTGGCAGGAGTGTGCCCAGCAGCCAGGAGGGGTGGCCATGGGGGCTGTGATTGTCTTGCCAGCACATCCCTTACCTGACTCACCAGCAAAAGTCTCAGGGAGAGCAAGTTGTTCATTTGTTTTTTTTTCAAGAAGCATTCAGGAGCAGCTTTCCTTCAAGACTGGATAATGAAAGAGAGTATTTCTAGTCCTCTGTCCTGTATGAATGATGTGAGTGAGACTGGCAATGTAACCTATTGTTGTGAGAATGAGAAACTGCAAGAGGCAGTACTGACATTAAAAAAACCAATCAGATTCCAGAATGCAAGCCACACCCAAAAAGGAAGCCTTTTTGGTCCCTTTGAAATCCAGTCAAAATTTATTTTGTAAGAATTGCTGTTTACAATAGCAATTGTTTTTGAAAAATGCAGCTGTTTTGTTCAAGCTCAGGATGTAAATAAATTTCAGAGCAGCATCATTTCCAGTCAGAAGTTCCAGTTTCGACCCATCTAATCCCCTCTTGACAGCTCACCACCAGACTCATGAGAAAGGCTTCTAGCTTTTTTTTTTGCTGCCTTGTTTGCATTGCTGCAATTTATCCACTCGGGAGGAGCTTCCCAGGCAGGGGAAAGCCCAGCTCACAGCCCTGCCAGCAGGTGTGGAAGCTCCTGGTAGTGGAGCAAGTCCTCTGCCCACCGTGGAACCCAGGACTCACAGCTGGTGGGAGGGCAGAGTTCTTGTTATACAGAAAAATACATAAAACCAAATTTTTCTCTGAATCATTACAATCTATTGTTCCCTGCTCCGGCATCATCCTGAATACACTGCCATGATCTCCTACTTTGACATCTCATGTAATAACAAATCTCCCATGGAGCTTTACATGCTAGGAAAAGTGGGATCTTAAAACTGCTGCCTGGAGTGTGTTTCATTTTGGAGAATTTCCACAGAAGAAACAAATCCTCCAGCGCTGTACTCTGCAAACTTTCCAAGGAGCACACTAAAGCCTGATTTATGTCACCGTCTTCCACTGAAAAATATTCTCAGGGTCTGCTTTCACAATGGATTTATAGGGGAAAAAAAGGAAAAAATGGTGTAAATCCTGATGAAGACATAAAAAAGGTGTCAGAGGAACCAGTGACCACCTGGAGGCCAGAGTCAAACAGAGAAGTGGTGGCAATGCTGGACTGACACTGCCAGGAGATGGGCTCCAAATCACTTTGAAATAAAGTGTATCATGCAGCAGATAGCTAGAAACCAGATGGACAATCTCACCTATAGACAGTGGAGAAAAAATGACCTTAGATGTTACAAAATTTGACTTTGTTTGAGCTAATAAAACTGAGTAGCCGAGCAGCTGCTGTCATGTGAATGAGAGCTCCACACAAAGCTGGAGCTCTCCTAGTGTGAAATTCATCCATAATACACACTGATTTAGTAGCATATAGCAGCACCTTACAATACCTTGGTAAAAGCCAGATTGACTGTAAAGGCACATTTTTGCATAGTTGATATATGTCTAAAATAAGAATTTTAACTTTCTGATTTTTTGCCTTTTTCCCCCACTGTTCCCCCCCCCGCCCGATTAATCTTTAATATACTTGAATATAATATATATTTAAAGCAATATAGATGATCTGTGTCTGTTATGGTTAAAGGATATAAATCTCCCTGACAGCATGCTGTGATCTGTCATCATGTGTTGGTGCATGTGCTGAACACAATGTTTGCAGAGATGTTTGTCCTGAAAGTTGGTAAATATTATGAGCTAAAGGTATATTTAGGACATGAAAGGTCATCCAAGGACAATTGCTTTGCTTAAAGAATGTCAAAGAAGTGGCATTCTGGGGGCCTTTTAAATGGTCCTTCAGTGTTTCCTTGGAGCATCAGCAAAAACAGGTTTTTGAGGGGTGGGCAGGAGCAGAGCTTGTGCATGTTTGTGGAGAACAGACTATTAAATTGCCAAGGCTGGACCTGGACCAGCAGCACTTCCCTCCACATCCAGCAGCTGATTTTGTCATATCATCAAATTTCACTACTGTTCTTTTGTTTGTTTTTTCTTTCCTCTGACACTCTGTTTTACCCTCTTTTTTTTTTTTTTTTTTTTTTTTTTTTTTTTTTTTTTTTTTTTTTAATGTAGTTGCTCCCCCACGAGACCTTCAGATCACCGACCCTGGACTTTTAGGTTCTCTTGATGTAGAGTGGAAACCTCCACTCGACCTACAGACCTTCAGTGACTGCACAGTGAAATACAAGTTCGAGTATCGCAACACTGGGGATACAGACTGGCAGGTAAGGCAGAGCAAGAGTTAATCCTCCTAAATCCACCCTGTTGTTCTGCCTTCAGTTCCTGCACAGGTTTATTGTTTGCCTTTTGAGGGGGAGTGGTCCCAAAGCAGTTCCAGCTTTCCACGAAAAAGCCAGACTGTTCCAGTGGTTTGAACCTTTTGCCAAATGGGAATGTGTTTTGATATGTAACAGCAGCAACATCCAGGCGAGGGGCTATTTCTGTCAGAAGGGGGGGGGGGATGCTTGCTGCCCAAAATAATCCAATAACATCAAGTATCATTCTTCATTGTAGAAGGCATTATACTTTCTACAACATCCTTACAGGACTGGAACTGAAACCCAGTGTCAACAGATCCTTAGGAGTGCAAAGTGGTGAATAAATAAAAGTTTAGTTTCATTAATTATCCTGATGTTTTAACATTCCCTTTACCCCGTTTACTTTTGTCTTTTAGATACAGCTGACTCTAACTCAGCTCTATGATAAAATTGTCAGTCCTCTCATGTTGATGTGCAGTAGGGCAAATGGCAGACAGGCACAGCACAGGAAGGGTTGTAGGAATATATTTTGGGAGTGCTTAGAAGATGAAAGCTGCTGCAGGGTTAGGAAGGTAAATGGAGCGGGGAGAGGAGAAACACAGCAGGAGGCTGTTTGGTTGGCACAAGGTACTGAGGAACACATAAAAAATATGCTGAGGATGTGCCCCAAGAACCCAAACCACAGATTGGTATCCTGAAAGGAAGAGGGATTTTTTTGCACAGTCCTAAAGCAGGAGTGTTAGAGACCTCACCAGCTGGAGAGACCAGGCAGAGAGAGGAGCAGCCAGTGGGCTCAGCAAAGCTGTGGAGCACAGCTTCTTGCTGGAATGGTTTCTGCATGTCCTGCATGAACATCTGCTTCATCTGCCCAAGGCAGCAAAGCCAAGGCTGCCAGGCTTGTGTTTGGCTACCACAGAAAAGGGGTTTGGCCCAGACATCCCAAGGGAGCCTGCAGAGGTGGAAAATCCTGTGTCAGTGATGGATTGCAGTTGCAAGGGCACGGGAAGATGCTCTTCGCCCTGACATTGGTCATGATGCATCTCACACTCCCAAGATGTGCAGCCCTGTGCGGATTCTTCTAGGATGACTGGAACTGAAATGTAAAAGAAAAACAATTCCAGTTCCAAAAAGCGTGTCAGAATTCCCAAAATCACAAGTTATGAAAGTGTCTTTATACAAAGCAGATCACCTCTGGTACCTTTCCAAAACCTTGACCCCAGATGAGGTCAAGAAGGAGAATCAGCCCGAAAAAAAATGCATTGGACACCCTTGTCAGCTTAGTTTCCCTTGCATAAAGTAAAGGGGAGTAAGCTAAGGGGAAAAAAAAAAAAATTAAAAAAAATAGAAAAACCTTCAGAGGAGGTGCTCAAAAAATCCCCCAAAAGACAAAGCCCAGTGGTACTCAGTGGTGAGCCCGTGCTGCAGTGCCTGGCTGCTGGCCCATCTTTGCAAGGGTGTGTTTATGCTTCCCACAGGAAACAGCCACTACAAGACACATTGTTCCTTCTGCTCCTAATTATCTCGCGTCATGAACAAAAGCTTTTTATCTGGATTAGCACGGATGTCCTCAGCAGATCGTCCCCAGCGCTCCTCGCTGCTGGGGATCCCTTTAAACAGCCTGTGCTGTCTTGACGTTGCTGGTGTCCTGTGGGTGGAGGCACTGAAAGCCAGCAAGGCAGGCACTACAATAGCGCTGGAGAAGCCTCGGGCAAGTGAAGCGGCTCAGAAATGTAGAGAGACATTGGAGCACACAAAAGGAGCCCACTCGCAGCTGGAGAGAGAGCAAGGGGAGCTAATTCTGCAGCCCACTTAGCAACAGCAGAGGTGCTTAAAAAGTCTGTCTTTCAACCAGGTTATTTTTACTAGGAAGCTAAAATTCAGAGTTGGATTTGACCTCAGCAGGACTGCTGAAGTGAAGGTGCAGACCCTGCTCGAAGGACGGTGCACCCATGGCGCGGAGCTGCAAAGTGACTGGATTTATGGTACCTTTCAGGTCCCACTGCAAGGTTAGGAGCAGTCTGTGGCACCTGTTTTGTGCTTTGCATGAGCCTGGTGCATGAGCCAGTTCCTGGGTGAGAAAGACTTCACAGGGCTTATTGAGCTGTAAGACACCAGGGCATCTCTGCTTTCAATGGCTGTGGTTGTGGTTACTGGGTACTTGGGACTCATTTCCCTGTGTCTGCACCCCAGCTCTGCTCATTTGCCCTGCAAGAGCCCCACTGCTGAATAAAAAGGTCAGTTAAGCATCTTTCTGCTCTAAGATGAACTGGCCTTTATAAGAAACAGAGCACTTGGCGGTAAAATTATCTAATAATGCAGACTTGCCTTCTTTTGCTTTCTTTTCCTTTCTTTTGCTTCCTTTTCCTTTCTTATGCTTTCTTTTCCTATCTTTTCCTTTTCTCTCTTTCAGCTGTAGCACAGAATTGTTCGAAGGCATAAAATGGTTTTTCTGCTCGGCCTGACTGGTACATTGCTGAATATCTGGTACGTTATCTCCTTCTTATTCCACAGGAAAACTGG